AGCTATCGAATAGAAAATCAGACCCCTCCTGCTACATCCACCTCTTACATCCTCTCTTTCACAATAAGTTGATAGTTCTCTCTTATGTTTCATTATATATTACCTATAACCAATAGAATTTCAAGGTTTTCATCTATCAAATGACTTATTATATATAACGTTGTATTCTGAGCAGAATATTTTTAATTTCACTCACAGTACAAGATTCATTCCTGTAGGAAAGTTAATGACAAGCTTGGATGAACTTGTAATGGCTTTTGTTGCATAGTTAGAAAGCCAGAAAAATTTTGAGAGTTGGGGAATTTGTCTACTTTTTGAATGTTATTAGTCTATACTCTTTGGTGCATTATATAATTCAATAAAAATTATTAAGTGCATAACTATTATTACTATAAAAAATCAGGCTTAACTGTCCTCAACAATCGAGGACAAGAAAAAAGAAGATTGGGTAAGTACTTTATTTATTGTTTTTCATATTTATTCTTTATTTATTATTATAAAAGTAACTAAAATCTAAAAATACAGATGTTTTTAAGTTATTTAAGACTAGATTAGGTAAAATAAGTAATAATAATAATATAATCAAAATGGTTCATGACGTCCGCATGCGAGCAGCTCTTGGGTAATATAATTTGATAGCATAATATGAGATGCACATTTCCTGAGTGATTTACAAATTATAATGGTGCAGATAGTAGTTAGACACTGTTCAAAGAGCAATAAAACAATAAAATTTAATTATAGATAGATGTATACTGTTATGAACTCAGAGCAACTTAGGATGAACGAATGTAGTTTCATGTTACAATTTGAAGTCATTTAGGTTTATTTCGATTTTTTTTAGATGTTACAAGGTCGGTCGATTTGACTGATCCTATTTTGAGATAGGGTAGAGAAAATAACAGATAAACTATAAAGATTTACTGAAAAAAAACGTTTCAAATGTATTTAGGAGGTTTTAGGGATTACACAAAGGAAATTTGAGATTTTTGAGATGAGGAAAAGTATTTTTAATTTTAACATAAATATTACTTTGCACATGGACTATTCAAAACAAATGCTCAATATATTCATGGACAAAACTTTATTTTATTTTATTTAAAATAATTCAGTGAAAACCTATGATTTTTTGTATGTGAAAGACTTGTAATGTTAACTGAAAGACTGCCAAATTTCATGAAGATATACACACTATATTGAGAGTCATGAGTATTAAGTCTACAAAGACTTTAAATGAGTACAAAAAGATTATGTCGTCAGTCAAATTGCCCCTTTTTTTTTCAGTAAATCTTTATAGTTTATCTGTTATTTTCTCTACCCTATCTAAAAACAGGATCAGTCAATTCAATCGACCTAGTAACCACCAAAAAAAAATCAAAATAAACCTAAATTACCCCTTTTTTTTCTAGAATGATTAGAGCTACTTAGGATAAACGAATGTAGTTTCATGTTACAATTTGAAGGTTTGTAACATTATACATCTATTTATAATTAAATTTTATTGTTTTATTGCCCTTTGAACCATGTCTAACTACTATCTGCACCATTATAAGTTGTAAATCACTCGGGAAATGTGCAGCTCATGTTACAGTAACAAATTATGTTACCTCAAGCTCCTCAATTGTGTGTGCCTTGTGAAACATTTTTATTATAATAATATTATTACTTATTTTATTTAATCTAATCTTAACAAACCTAAAAGGATCCCAATTTGTGCATTTGAGTTACTTTTATAATTATACATAAAGAATAAACATGAAAAACCAGAAATAAAATACTTAACCAATCTTTTTTCTTGCTGTCGGTTTTTGAAGAGAGTTATTCCTAATTTTTTATACTAATGATAGTAATGCACCAAATAATATAGACTAATAACATGCAGAGAGTAGACAAATTTCCTTACCTCTCAAAATTTGTCTGGCATTCTAACTATGCGACAAGAGCCATTACAAATTCATCCAAGCTAGTCGTTGACTTTCCTATGGGAATGATGTTGGTACTCTGAGTGAAATTGACACCTACTGTTCAGAACATAATGTTATAC